ATGTCGCCTCCAGTTATTGCATACACAACACGACCATTATAACCTCGATCATGATCAGTAGCATTGATGGTAAGGATCTCACTTCCAACCTCAGTATCTTCCTGGATATTAACAGTAACTGGCAAATTCTCAGGTAAATCAGGTGGATGGGTATTATATCCATACCGTAGTGGCATTAGAGCATAATGTTCTACTGCAGCATTAATGTCTGCTCCAGCTGCTAAAACCTCTGACATGTTGTTACTAATGCCGGTTGCTTGACACTCAACATGTGAGTGTTGGTGAACTGTCTGGTCTGGTCCCCGTTGAGTGATAACTGCCAAAGTTATGCTTGTAGCATCAGAAACATGTGAACCATCTGTAGCTGTCACGTTAAGAACAAAAGTCCGAGATCTTTCGCCATCTCTTTCACTTCTTTTTAAATCACATGTAAGAGCAAGCACCCCAGAAGAGGCATCAAGGCCCCAACATTCTTCTTCCATGTCCCCTTGCAATTTATATGTCACAACACTATCAGCATCCAGGTCTAGAGCAGACATTGTGAGAACATTAGTTCCAACTGGTGCATCAGTTGATATCCAACCTTTACAATCTGTTCCTTCAAATTGTGGCCTATTATCATTGACATCTCTAACTTTTACTTTAACAGTTGTTTCTGTTTCTCGTTTAAAGGGTGTACCCCAGTCAGATGCACGAACTTTTATTGTGTATACCCGTCTTTCAGTTTCATAATCCAAAACAGATGACGTTCTTATCACACCATCAAAAGGATCAATACTGAAAGGCACTGGATCGAGATTCGCAATACTATAGGAAATAAATCCATTTTCACCAGAGTCTTGATCTGTTGCAATGACCCTAGTGACATAGGATCCTCTAGGTTCATTTTCATCAAGTATGACTTCTGTATTTGGAGTGTTAAATTGTGGTGCATTATCATTTGCATCCAGAACACGTATAATCACCTTTGCTGAAGACTGCTTCCTACGAGCATTGCTAGCTTGGTCTACTGCAGCCACTGTTACACTGTAGTATGCAGTATCCTCATGATCTAACCACTCAGCTGTAGTTATCAGGCCTGTTCGTGGATTGATACTGAATTTTTCATCTTCATTTCCAGCAACTATTCTAAATAAAACTCTGCCATTAATACCTTGGTCAGTGTCAGATGCGGCAACTCGTACTACAGGGGTATGTGGTGGCGCCTCTTCACTCACTGCCTCTTCATATTGCTCCCTGGCAAATACCGGAGCATGATCATTTACATCAGCGATGTTGACATGCACACTTTCTCTGGTAAGCTGGGATGGAATACCAGCATCAGTAGCTAGCAGTGTCAGGTTATAACCTCCAGGAGCTAATTCTCTATCTAAAATCTTGAGTACCACCAAATTATACTCTTTGCTCTTAGAACCTTGTGTTATGCTAAAAAGTCTGGCAGGGTCTCCATTAATAATTTGGACAGACTCTATTCTACCACTATCACCTTCATCTTCATCATCAACATTTATGATAGCATATATGTATGTATGTGCATGTTCTACTACATGAGGTAAATGATGTACATGGATCCGTGGAGGATGTATATTTACTTGCTGAACTTGCACCTCCACAACTGCCCGTGCAGCATCTGATGGCCGGAAGTTCCATGGCTGCAATCCCCGATCTTGAGCTAAAATATTAACTGTATGCACGTGCATATGTCTGTAAGCAAGTGGTCTTGTGACACTAAGCACACCTGTAGTAGGATGCACTGCAAAAAGGTTTGTCATATGATTCTCTAGTGAATAGTAAACTTGGCCATTGTACCCTTCATCAGCATCATGTGCTTTCACTGAGAGGAGTTGTGTGTGAAGGGTGGCATCTTCTCCTACACTAACTTGGTACTTGGTGGGATAAAACAAGGGAATATTGTCATTCATATCTTTTACTATAACTGTGACCTTGGTCTGGCCCGGAAGAAATGCTGACCTGAGATGAATTGTCCTGACCCGTGCTTCCACTTCCAACACATAGAAAGCTCTTCTCTCTCTGTTGAGCACATCCCTCAACCCTGTCCTGGTTCTCAAATGCAAAACTGCAATCCCACCCACAACTTCTGTTTCGGCTGTGAAAAAGCCATCTTGATCTCCATCTTGTATAGAAAATACCACATCAGCACCAGGAGGCAAACCTTCCAACTCCACACCCATTAGGTGTTCCCCTGTCACATAAGTCCGTGGTAGAGAATTCTCATATATGCTGACATTGTAATTATCTTTCAAGAAACGAACTGTATTTTCTTTTGGTACTGACACTGAAGTAGATACCTTGACGAAATGAACTAACACGAAGACCACAATGGGAAAAGACAAGCGCAGAAGAGAGTGTACGGGAGCGAAGAGGTGCGGGAGTGGGCGTACGGGGGTGGACAGTGCTGGAAACGGCATGGGCTGGGGTGCCCACGATCCCGCTCCCCTGACCATTATGCTGGCCTTACCATGTCATCTTTCCTTTGTCA